CTGCAAGAGAGCCAAGGGTTGGTCACATCTTTACGAGGAAGGCATTTATTTCATTCTATTCACACTTTACTCTTTAAAAAAAATCATATATATTATCACTTACAACAACGCCTTTCTCCAACAAGAAGTGAGGAGTGTGAATTAATGGTACATGAATCATTTTAAAAGATACTTATAAAATAAATACAACAAAAACTCAAAATAACGGTCAGACAAGTAATCTGCACCTCTTAAGCTAAATGGAAATAACTGTTCATTTCCTCACATCTTAAGAACTATGGAATTACAAGCCTCAATAAGGCAGGAAGGAGAACACATAAAAGCACATAAAAAACACCCCACAAAGACTTTTTTTGCGATATTCACAAACCACACGAAAACGGCGCCAACCAGACCCTACGGCCGCGTGTCATATTTTCTGCACATTTTTTTTCCCAAAACTTATCACTTATCTCGGTTACTATTTCCGCTTTCTTTCGGTGACAGCTGTTCTTCGCAGATGCTTTGGTTACAGCAGAGAGATTATTAATAGAGATAAGAATTAATAAGCGCCGTATTCTTAACACTTGCTGATAAATTATCGCGAGAAATAACATTCCAAAATTTCATAAATCTCAACTGTCCACCACAACACTCCGGCGAATTCAAAGCGATGTAAATTAAATCGTATATAATATACTGCGATCATTACCTCATAAAATGCAGTAAAGGTCAGAGGGTGATTTTAACTGGGTTTTACATAGTTGAGGGAGGAGAGCCTTAAAAAAGAGCAAGACCTTATGCATTAGGAAAGTCAACCGCGCATCTGACGGCGTAGTTTGAAAAATACAGTTACAACTGTCATCTTCCCTCGTTTTCTTTAACGTATTCATTCTGGAAGAAATTAATGTCTACAAGAACACAAAGGCGGTGAAATAAATCTTATGCGCCATTATGAGGAAAGGATATTAAAGAAAGGAGAATGAGAAAAAGAGGAAACGAAATGCAAAGGCTACTAGCCATGCAGTAATGAACGAAAATTAAGAGGTGAACGAAAAATTGTGATCATTTGAGATACGCCTCTGGTGGCCGTTTTATGGACGCTCTCGGATGCTCCTGTCAGGCCAAAGTTTGCTTCTTTATAGTCGAAATGTCATGAAAATCTACTCTTTTTCCCACTTTCTCGCCTTAACGAAACCGTTATTGCACGGATATGAACAAGATAAAAAGAGAAAAAATATATAAGAAAAAGTCCTCCTCAAACCTTTAATTGATAGTCCTCAACACTTCAGTCACAGAATATTTTTACTGGAATAAAACAAATAAACGCCGAGCTTGTGAGCACGTCAAGAGGTTAGCGTAGAATAGTTGCCAAGTTTTTTTTTCTATGCATCGTCCTTCTTGTTTTTCTTTTTTTTCTATCCCTCTCTTTTTTCTTTTCTTTATTTCATTTTTATTTTTTTGGTGCTTGCAAGAAAGCCTGAGACGTCTTCATGGAGGCGGGATCTGGCGAGGGACACTAACGGCACAATTAGGGTAGTTAACTGTTCGTAATGGCCTGTTTAGTGCCGGGATAATGCCCTGCAAACTAAGCGAGATCTGATTTATTTGATTACAATTGCGAATGGGAAGGTGTGACTCGCCAGGGCGGAGGTGCGACGTATGTGTGCGTGTGTGTACACGTGTACAGATACAGATATGGATGTGATCTATTTATGGATGAAATATGGGTATGGGTATATGTGTAAACATACAAGTATGCACACATAGGTGTATATGGACTATGTAATACTAGTAGATATATATGTAATATATACATAAATATTCATATTACATAAATATACACAAATATATACATACAATGTATATATCCACATATTCATACTATATATATATATATATTAAAGATATGCATACATATAAATATTCATATATACATATATGTAAACAAACATACATATACATGAATATGCGTACAATTACATACATACATAAATAAATACACACAAATATATCCATAAATATGCACACACACACATATCTATATATATATATATATATATAATTATATATATATATATATACATATATGCATATATATATTATATAGAGAGAGAGATATGTGTGTGTGTGCGTCCGCGCGTATGTGTGAGTGAGTGTGTGCACGTGGGCGTGCGCTCGCCTGCTTGTGTTTATCCTACTTTGCATATACTTAAACTTTCATCCATTATTTAATCCACGTTCCTTTCTTTGTATCACTACGCCTATATTCAAGTGTTACGCTCATCAGCATCTTTTTAACATCTCTATCTCTACATTCACACACTTGAATTGGAATCCTTACACGCATTTACTTTTAGAAACAAGTCCTCCTTTCCGGCCTTCAAAGCGACTCGCCCGGCCACTTGACAGCTGTTTTCCTTTCGCATTTGCAGGATTAGCCTTTCGTCCTCAATTCCTGTCATTAAAGAGCGCGGATGTTCATAAACATTCTACTCTCCTCAACAGCCGCGAACTTCCTTATGTTTTTCCCTTTTTTCCTTTTTTTTCGTTCACCAAAACAGGATATGCAAGTATGTCGCCGACCGTGAATTGGCGGTTAATTGCCAGTTGTCAAATTGATATCGATTGCGGTGGTTTGCCGGCGTAATTGCCACTTAACGCTGTCAAGCATCTGGAATTCCTGTGATGGATGGACGCAACTGACCGTGATTAATCGCCGGAGAAACGCCGTGCATTCGAAGACGGAAAACAAATAAACACTCGGCAGGCAGCGATCAAGGTTGCAAGAAAAAGACGGCGCAAGTTGCTTAGCGGCTATATACTCTTGTTTTTTCTGCCATCAACATTCCTCTCTGTTTATGTTTGGATTCGACTTGAGTATCCACCTGAGGTCTTGACGAGGGTGTCACTCTTCTTCAGGGCAAGCGTGCTCGCTAATGAAGGCGAATAACGCGCTTTAATTATTGTGATAAATGCAATACAGCAACACAAGACAGCTCGGTTAGCGGGTATGAGATAACATCTGGAGAGTCGCACGTAGCATGAGGGAAGAGAAGTAGTGAGGTGAGGAGAGAGAGGAGAAGAGAGTGAAGAAGACGAAGAAGAGAGGATGAAGATTAGATTCACGAGTTTCCACGAAAGGAAGAATGGAAACGCAAGCGAAGGAAGAAGAGAAAAGAAAGCGAAAGTGACAGGCAGAGCTCGCGATGGCCAGGCGAAAACGAACAAAGTAACGTTGGCGAGAAAAAGAAAACGGGGTCCTGGGCGCCGCTCGTCTCCAGGGTGACCCATGTGACTGTAATGACAACACGACACTCCACACATGAGGTTGAACAAGATGTCAACCGTCGCTCAACCCTTTCCTTATGCTACCACCGCCACCGCGAGCTCCTCCTCCGCCCTCCCCTCATCCCCTGGCCGGTCTTCTCTTTCTCTCTCTATTTACACTCATTCCCGTGCACTATATATAGCCACGTCTACTTGTCTAGAAACTATTACATCTTCGAACTGCTTCAAGGTCGCTGAGTCTCGTTAGGGGAGCGTTGTATTAGGACTCGTCTCATTAACAGTGTTTACAAGTATTGGACAAGGGCAGGGATCGGGGTGCGCTGCCGTTAAACCCTACCATTACAGGACATTGCGTAGCACACAGAGGCTCAGGACTTTGCATGATAAGAAAGTCGGCGGTAAGGAACTATAATCTCGCTCCCTCTCATGACGTATTTCGCCAGTTGATAATGTACTGCAGCCATCTGGCCCCGTTAGCGGAGTTCTCGCAGCTATTTTTGCCCTTGATGGACCCTCTCCATAGCCGAGGAAGGCCCGGGCAGCAAACAGGATCATATTTAAACCTTATATTCCCTGGGAAAATTTTTCCTTTTTATCTTTAGTGATTTTTTATCGCCTTGTTAACTGACAGCAATGATCATCTTCGACGAACGAGGTACTTTGGCAGATTCATGAGGCTCTGGATAAATTCATTTCGTTGTGAGAACCAAGACTACAACACGAAAAATTCTAAACACAACACAAGGTGCTAAAGCTGAAGACTCTTTAGACGCCTGAACTAGCAAACATTCACTCCTAATAGATTCAATCTGAAGAGTTAAACGTTAAATAAATTGTCAATAAACGCCGGGGGAATGGCTGGCAGGTAGGTCCTCTGCCGCCCCGGGCCAAGGCAGATCCCGCGCGGACGAAGGCTCTCCACTTGGCTTGTTTACCGCTCTTGTTTCGTTATTAATGGTTTCGGATGAGCTGTTTGGACTGTGATTCTGATGGAGGTTATTGATTCATGACGGTTTAGGGCAGTTTCAGTTATCGGTTGGATATATAGTGCATCGCTTTCTTATATGTATGTACCGTGTGTGTGTCTGTTATATATATATATAATATAGTATATATAAATATAATATAATATATTATATATATATATATATATATATATAACATATAAGTCTGTGCTATTCTATCGGTATTCATGTCTATAAGTCTCAGTCACTCATCATCTCTCTTCTCTCTCTCTCTCCTCTCTCTCTCTCTCTTCTCTCTCTCTCTCTCTCTCTCTCTCTCTCCTCTCTCTCTCTCTCTCCTCTTCTCTCCTCTCTCTCTCTTCCTTCTTGACGATCTCCAAGCATTCACACACACAAGCAAACATAAGGCGCAGTCAATAGTGCATCGTTGCCAACAAAACTGCCACATCTCACGACTCGCACGGACTATAAATCAGCGCTGACATAATCACCACATCAATTACTTACACACACCCACTCCAGTCTAGGAAAAGGGGGTTGGTAGGGAGAGGATAGTGTTGATGAAGGGGGGAGGAGGAGGGTTTAGAGGAGGAGGAAGAACTGTTTATACCACTTGTTCATTCATTCATTTAACTCCTTGGCCGCTCACTAATTCATTCGCGGGAAAGCCTTGTGGCGAAAACTATGCTACGGTTTTTGTTTTTGTTTTTAGATTTTATTTCTCTCCTCTCTCTCTCTCTTTTACTATGGAAGTGTGCTCGGGGA